TACCACACATATATCTTTCATTAAAACACCTACAAACAACGTCCGCTATGCTAACTCAATACTGATGAACTGGGAAGAAAACAAAATAATAGTCATGTGTTTCACAATATCCCAAAAAAAGTGTACTTAATACTCTATAAATAGAACTTAATATATTACTGATTATTCAATAATCACTTAAAATATTATTGATACACAATAATCACTTAAAATATTACATATACACAATAATCACTTAAAATATTACTAATACACAAGAATCACTTGAAATATTACTGATACACACAGAATCACTTAATATATTGCCGATATTTAATAATCACCTAAAATATTACTGACACACAATAATCACTTAAATTATTGCTGACACACAATAATCACTTAAAATATTACTGACACACAATAATCACTTAAAATATTATTGACACACAATAATCTCCTAACCTATTTCTGATATACACAATATAATCACTTAAAATATAACCGACATGCACCACTTAATCTATTCCTGGCTGGAATAATAGAACACTACAAAATATATTCGGTAGTTTTTCTCCAATTTAACTGATAATATATTTTTTTGACATTAATCGAAAAATACTATGCGTACATAAGCACAAAATAATTTCATTGACATGAGATAAGTATTATTCTTTAACATTAATTTTTTAAACAAACCCAATTGCTATTCACTGACGTGAATTTATTACTGTGTACATTACAAAATAAATAAATATCATAAGAAAAAAAAAAACATACAATCTTTCCTTAATTTATAGAACTGATGTTCTAAAAACACTTTCCATTTATATGGAACAATAATAAAAAAATATATACTGATGTATATAATAATTTAATTGAACTGGCGTTCAAAAATTTTTATAACTGCATGGATATGCAATAAAATAATATACTGAGAATTAATGATTTTGAAGTTTTCCTTAATTCATAGAACTGATGTTCTAAAACTTATTTTCCATCGATATGGAACAAGAAATAATAAAAAAAAATATACTGATATATAATAACTGAAATTTGAACTGGCGTTCAAAATTTTATAACTGCATGGATATGCAATAAAATAATATACTGAGAATTAATGATTTTGAAGTTTTCCTTAATTCATAGAACTGATGTTCTAAAACTTATTTTCCATCGATATGGAACAAGAAATAATAAAAAAATATACTGATATATAATAACTGAAATTTGAACTGGCGTTCAAATTTTATAACTGCATGGATATGCAATAAAAATAATATACTGAGAGAATTAATGATTTTGAAGCTTCTTAATTTTTAGAACGGATGTTCTAAAACTTACTTTCCATTGATATGGAACAAGAATAATAAAATATATATACTGATGTATATAATTAATTCAAAATTGAACTGGCGTTCAACAAGTTACAACTGCATGGATATGCAGAGCAAAAAAAACGTACACTGACGTATACAAAAAATAAAATCAAAATTCTCTCTAATAAATGGATATTAAACAGTATAATTTTATAAATTTCTCTCGTCTTACATTACAGGGAGTTGCAAGCAAAAACTCTTACCTGATTCATTTCCACGCGGGAATCCAGAAAACTCGAAATTTCTGAACGTTCTTCCTGTGGGGTTTTCCACTAAGACTCGATCATTAACGGCTGCGCCAGTAAAGTTTGTTTCTAATCAATGGGCACGGAAACAATTAAGAACCTGGCATCTAATTTTTAAAAAATTAAGGTTTATTAAAAAAAAACATTTAAAGAAAACAGTTATTATACAGTTAGCAACACTCGGACATGACTTCACCCGTCGTACCCAAAGACCGAATCCCTGCCACTTGCCATTCCACATTCCAAGGGGAGGGAAACTACCCATTCCCCTTAGCTGGTGTCAATGGGCCTTCCCACTCCTACAGGGCTCAAGACCTCAAACCCTAAAAAGCACTTTCTGCACTGTTATCAGACCGGTTTTAGAATATGCGACCCCAATTTGGACTCCGGCCTCTATTTCTGTTAAGCGGAAACTTGATTCTGTACAACACAGAGCTGCCAAAATTATTATTGGAGCAGTGTCATCAACCAATAATGAAAAGGCCGAACAAGAATGCGGCTTGCCTCCGCTAGAAAGCAGGCGCAAACTTGCCACTATCAAGTTCACTAATAAACTACGCTCATATGGTTTGGACCATATCTCTAGAAGAGTTTTTGATAAATGGAAGCATTCTACAAGGCTCAAAAGATCTTCGACTCTCCAACTTGATAGTGAATTCAGAAAAGAACTCAATTTGGATCATTCCTCCTTAGAGTTCCTTCAGGAGCCCCTCATTCCAAAACCACCAAAGAATACCTGTTTCGAATTGGAATTGCTGCAGCCATGTTCCAAAAAAGAAGACCCTGTAACTCTCAGACAAAAGGACTGGAAACGATAGCAATACTCTCTCAAGATAACTTTGCAATCGCCTACACTGATGGTTCCTCAGACAGATCCCTCAGCAATGGAGGTGCCGGAATCATCTTACTCCTCCCAGATGGTAATAACTACAAACACAAAATTAACACAGGCATAATCGCCTCAAACTTCACAAGTGAACTCGTGGCAATTAGAGAGGCCCTTTTATTATATCAACAAAACCCACATGTTATTGATTCTACAGAAGGATTAGTAATCTTCTCAGATTCTAAATCAGCTATAGAAGCCATAAGAAACGGAGAGACTAACATCTCCTGTGATATTATTACGCTTCTAGAACAGCTGCACAACAAAAGAAAATCCTGTATCCTGCAATGGATACCCGCACATGTCAACATTGAGGGTAATGAATGTGCAGATAGCCTCGCCAAAGAAGCTAGAGACATCGAACATAAGTGCACCACCATCACACTTGATGATGCTAATGCAGTAGCCAAACATAGAATTATGAATCACACTTTTAAAAAACCCCTAGTTACGGAATTTGACTGTCCCCGAATTATAACATCCACAATTGCCAGATTGAGAACTGAACACCTTAAGGGCATGAAGATTCACCCAGACAAGACAAGATCATATGTTCAATGCAAACACTGCCCAGATCTTCAACTGACGCCCAACCACATCTTGGAATGCCCAACCGTCGCAACAAAGTTACTAAAAATGGGAATGGTCCCTCTGAGGGACTCTTTGTGGGAACTCCTGTACAGCCCTGATGCTCCCAGAATAGCACAGGCAGTGATCAAGACTTTCGACGGAATCTAGTGATATCTACTGCATTTATTCATGGACACGAGAACAACAACAACAACAACAATCATTAAAAATATATATAATTATTATTCATTAAAAATATATAAAATTATTATTAATTTATTATTTAAAAATATTAATTTAAAAATTATTAATTCATTATTAAAATTATTAATTCATTATTAAAATTATTAATTTATTAAAACTATTAATTTATTGTTAACATTATTATTCTTTACTATTGAAAATATTATTCAATATTGAAATTATTATTAATTTATTATTAAAATTATATTAATAAATTTATTAAAAGTATTAAAAAAACTTATTAAAATTAAATAAATTTATTTAAAAAGGACTTATTAAATATTTTATAAAATAATAAAATAATTAAATTAATAACATATAAAAATACACACACACATTTTTTTATTATATTAATTATAAAATAATTAATTTAAAAATAATAATATATTTTATAAATTATTTTATATTATGCATATTTTATTTATAGTACATTGTATTTCACATTATGAAACTATTTGTAACTAATTTTAATGTAAAATATCTCTTAATATTTATTATATATTTTATTATAAATATTATTTATTAATATAAAAATATATTTATATATAAAGTTTAAGATAAATATATATATAATAATAGTAATTTTTTTACTTTTATAAATACAAAATAGTTACATAAAATATCATTTAATATGTAATAAATCTTTCATAAATAAATTTATTTAATTTTAAAGAATAATTAAATGAATTGAAAAAAAAAAGGTTTAACGCTTGAATAATACACTAACCTCGAGCATATTATGCAGACGATTTGCCAACTAGAATACGACCTCGTTGGAGGAAATTAAAACTTCATTGTATAAAAGGTAAGCATGGATTTTGAAGGCTATTTTCTCCAAATTGACTGGCAATTCGGCAAATTACATTGAGGGTTGAACACCCTAAAGGCTACTATTACACACAGTTTTAACTCTAAAGGAATTTTTCCTTAGTCATGACCTACCCTTGTAAATCAAAAAGATTAAGATATAAATAGGCACTAAGTTTTACATTAAAAAAAAGCATATTAAATATATCAAGTTCATCAGAAAAGCCCGACAAAATTTATATCAAGAATAATTGTTAGTAAAAAAGCACCTAATAGATCTATCCTAAAGAAGAAAGAGTTGTTCCTCTATGACCATCTAATTACTCTATGAAAATTAATTGACTGGCGTTTCAATGTATTTCTCAAAAATGATTTAAACCCTTCCCGCCTTTTCCCAAGCTGAACTCAGACAGAAGAAACATACCTTCCTGGCTCATGGCGAGTATATATCGAATATTGTAAACTTTTAAACAGCATAGCTGGTATTTAATGAATAAATTCACATATCCTTTTAAAAGTTTCTAATGAATTTAAATAAATTTCTCGGCAAATAAAGAAAAAAATTATTTTTTAAATCCATAATTCTAAAGTAAAATAAAACTAAAAGGGAGAAGGCAAGAAAATCTTATCTCAAAAACAAAGAAAGGTTGAACTTCTCAGAATAAAACCAAAAGAATCTCAAAAGCAAAAGTAACTCAATTAACAAAAACAACGCAAACACAGCTTGTCAAAATACATAGATTTAAATGCGAAGAGAAGGCATTCGAAGTGGACCAATCAGATACACCGCCATCGAGAAACATACTTTCCTAGAGAACTCCATTCCGTTCGGAAAGCGTAAAAGTATCTAGAAAAATGTAGGATCCTCTCAAGAAGCTGCATTACTTAAATTGGAGATGCAGGGATTTGAACACTGGACTATTCGCATGCAAAGCGAACGCTCTACCCCTCAGCTACACCCCCATCGAGAACCCTACTTTTCTAGAGATCTCCATTCCAACCGTCAAGCGTCAAAGTATATTGAAAAATGAAGGATCCTCTCAATAACGCTGCATAACTGAAGTTAGTAGTGCGAGGATTTCAACCCCAGTCATTTCGCATGCGAAGCAAGCACTCTTCCCCCGAGCCACACCACCGTCGAGAACCCTACGTTTCTAGAAAACTCCATTCCATTCTGCAAGCGTCCAAGTATCTAGAAAAATAAACGATCCTTTCAATAACGCTGCATAACTCAAGTTGAAGGTGCGGGGAATTGAACGCCGGACTTTTCGCATGCGAAGCGAACGCTCTAACCCTTAGCTACACCCCCATCAAAACTCTTCTTTTCTAGAGATTCCATTCCATTCTGCAAGCGTCCAAGTATCTTGAAAAATGAAGGAAAGTTTCAATAACGCTGCATTACTGAAGTTAGAGGGGCTGAGATTTATAACCCGGAATTTTCGCAAGCGAAGCGAACACTCTATTCCTGAGCTACATCCCCGTCGAGAACCACATTTTTGTACAGATCTCCATTCCATTCTGCAAGCATCCAAGTATCCAGAAAAATGAAGGAACATTTAAAAAAAAAGCGCGATTCAAGTTGGAGGTGCAGGGAGTTGAACCGCGGACCTTTCGCATGCGAAGCGAACGCACTACCTCTGAGCTACAACCCCGTTAAGAAACTTACTTTTCTAGAGATCTCCATTCCATTCTGCAAGCGTCCAAGTATCTAGAAAAATGAAAGATCCTCTCAATAACGCTTGAAAACTCAAGTTACGGGAGCGGGGATTCGAACCCCTGAGTTTTAGCATGCGAAGCGAAAGCTCTAACCCTAAGCTGCACCCGCGTCGAGAATCTTTCTTTTCTAGAGATCTCCATTCCATTCTGCAAGCGTCCAAGTATCTGGAAAACAGAAGGATCCTCTGAATAACACAAGTGTGAGGTACGGAGATTTCAACCCCGGACATTTCGCATGCGAAGCGAACGCTCTACCACTGAGCTACACCCCCGTCGAGAAACCTACTTTTCTAGAGATCTCCATTCCATTCTGCAAGCGTCCAAGTATCTAGAAAAATGAAGGATCCTCTGAATAACACAAGTTGGAGGTGCGGGGATTTGAACCCCGGACATTTCGCATGCGAAGCGAACGCTCTACCACTGAGCTACACCCCCGACGAGAAACCTACTTTTCTAGAGATCTCCATTCCATTCTGCAAGCGTCCAAGTATCTAGAAAAATGAAGGATCCTCTGAATAACACAAGATGGAGGTGCGGGGATTTGAACCCCGGACATTTCGCATGCGAAGCGAACGCTCTACCACTGAGCTACACCCCCGACGAGAAACCTACTTTTCTAGAGATCTCCATTCCATTCTGCAAGCGTCCAAGTATCTAGAAAAATGAAGGATCCTCTGAATAACACAAGATGGAGGTGCGGGGATTTGAACCCCGGACATTTCGCATGCGAAGCGAACGCTCTACCACTGAGCTACACCCCCGACGAGAAACCTACTTTTCTAGAGATCTCCATTCCATTCTGCAAGCGTCCAAGTATCTAGAAAAATGAAGGATCCTCTGAATAACACAAGATGGAGGTGCGGGGATTTGAACCCCGGACATTTCGCATGCGAAGCGAACGCTCTACCACTGAGCTACACCCCCGACGAGAAACCTACTTTTCTAGAGATCTCCATTCCATTCTGCAAGCGTCCAAGTATCTAGAAAAATGAAGGATCCTCTGAATAACACAAGATGGAGGTGCGGGGATTTGAACCCCGGACATTTCGCATGCGAAGCGAACGCTCTACCACTGAGCTACACCCCCGACGAGAAACCTACTTTTCTAGAGATCTCCATTCCATTCTGCAAGCGTCCAAGTATCTAGAAAAATGAAGGATCCTCTGAATAACACAAGATGGAGGTGCGGGGATTTGAACCCCGGACATTTCGCATGCGAAGCGAACGCTCTACCACTGAGCTACACCCCCGACGAGAAACCTACTTTTCTAGAGATCTCCATTCCATTCTGCAAGCGTCCAAGTATCTAGAAAAATGAAGGATCCTCTGAATAACACAAGATGGAGGTGCGGGGATTTGAACCCCGGACATTTCGCATGCGAAGCGAACGCTCTACCACTGAGCTACACCCCCGACGAGAAACCTACTTTTCTAGAGATCTCCATTCCATTCTGCAAGCGTCCAAGTATCTAGAAAAATGAAGGATCCTCTGAATAACACAAGATGGAGGTGCGGGGATTTGAACCCCGGACATTTCGCATGCGAAGCGAACGCTCTACCACTGAGCTACACCCCCGACGAGAAACCTACTTTTCTAGAGATCTCCATTCCATTCTGCAAGCGTCCAAGTATCTAGAAAAATGAAGGATCCTCTGAATAACACAAGATGGAGGTGCGGGGATTTGAACCCCGGACATTTCGCATGCGAAGCGAACGCTCTACCACTGAGCTACACCCCCGACGAGAAACCTACTTTTCTAGAGATCTCCATTCCATTCTGCAAGCGTCCAAGTATCTAGAAAAATGAAGGATCCTCTGAATAACACAAGATGGAGGTGCGGGGATTTGAACCCCGGACATTTCGCATGCAAAGCGAACGCTCTACCACTGAGCTACACCCGTCGAGAAACCTACTTTTCTAGAGATCTTCATTCCATTCTGCAAGCGTCCAAGTATCTAAAAATGAAGGATCCTCTGAATAACTCAAGATGGAGGTGCGGGGATTTGAACCCCGGACATTTCGCATGCGAAGCGAACGCTCTACCACTGAGCTACACCCCCGTCGAGAAACCTACTTTTCTAGAGATCTCCATTCCATTCTGCAAGCGTCCAAGTATCTAGAAAAATGAAGGATCCTCTGAATAACACAAGTGGAGGTGCGGGGGATTTGAACCCCGGACATTTCGCATGCGAAGCGAACGCTCTACCACTGAGCTACACCCCCGTCGAGAAACCTACTTTTCTAGAGATCTCCATTCCATTCTGCAAGCGTCCAAGTATCTAGAAAAATGAAGGATCCTCTGAATAACACAAGATGGAGGTGCGGGGATTTGAACCCCGGACATTTCGCATGCGAAGCGAACGCTCTACCACTGAGCTACACCCCCGACGAGAAACCTACTTTTCTAGAGATCTCCATTCCATTCTGCAAGCGTCCAAGTATCTAGAAAAATGAAGGATCCTCTGAATAACACAAGATGGAGGTGCGGGGATTTGAACCCCGGACATTTCGCATGCGAAGCGAACGCTCTACCACTGAGCTACACCCCCGACGAGAAACCTACTTTTCTAGAGATCTCCATTCCATTCTGCAAGCGTCCAAGTATCTAGAAAAATGAAGGATCCTCTGAATAACACAAGATGGAGGTGCGGGGATTTGAACCCCGGACATTTCGCATGCGAAGCGAACGCTCTACCACTGAGCTACACCCCCGACGAGAAACCTACTTTTCTAGAGATCTCCATTCCATTCTGCAAGCGTCCAAGTATCTAGAAAAATGAAGGATCCTCTGAATAACACAAGATGGAGGTGCGGGGATTTGAACCCCGGACATTTCGCATGCGAAGCGAACGCTCTACCACTGAGCTACACCCCCGACGAGAAACCTACTTTTCTAGAGATTTCCATTCCATTCTGCAAGCGTCCAAGTATCTAGAAAAATGAAGGATCCTCTGAATAACACAAGATGGAGGTGCGGGGATTTGAACCCCGGACATTTCGCATGCGAAGCGAACGCTCTACCACTGAGCTACACCCCCGACGAGAAACCTACTTTTCTAGAGATCTCCATTCCATTCTGCAAGCGTCCAAGTATCTAGAAAAATGAAGGATCCTCTGAAACAACAAAGATGGAGGTGCGGGGATTTGAACCCCGGACATTTCGCATGCGAAGCGAACGCTCTACCACTGAGCTACACCCCCGACGAGAAACCTACTTTTCTAGAGATCTCCATTCCATTCTGCAAGCGTCCAAGTATCTAGAAAAATGAAGGATCCTCTGAATAACACAAGATGGAGGTGCGGGGATTTGAACCCCGGACATTTCGCATGCGAAGCGAACGCTCTACCACTGAGCTACACCCCCGACGAGAAACCTACTTTTCTAGAGATCTCCATTCCATTCTGCAAGCGTCCAAGTATCTAGAAAAATGAAGGATCCTCTGGATAACACAAGATGGAGGTGCGGGGATTTGAACCCCGGACATTTCGCATGCGAAGCGAACGCTCTACCACTGAGCTACACCCCCGACGAGAAACCTACTTTTCTAGAGATCTCCATTCCATTCTGCAAGCGTCCAAGTATCTAGAAAAATGAAGGATCCTCTGAATAACACAAGATGGAGGTGCGGGGATTTGAACCCCGGACATTTCGCATGCGAAGCGAACGCTCTACCACTGAGCTACACCCCCGTCGAGAAACCTACTTTTCTAGAGATCTCCATTCCATTCTGCAAGCGTCCAAGTATCTAGAAAAATGAAGGATCCTCTGAATAACACAAGTGTGAGGTACGGGGATTTCAACCCCGGACATTTCGCATGCGAAGCGAACGCTCTACCACTGAGCTACACCCCCGTCGAGAAACCTACTTTTCTAGAGATCTCCATTCCATTCTGCAAGCGTCCAAGTATCTAGAAAAATGAAGGATCCTCTGAATAACACAAGTTGGAGGTGCGGGGATTTGAACCCCGGACATTTCGCATGCGAAGCGAACGCTCTACCACTGAGCTACACCCCCGTCGAGAAACCTACTTTTCTAGAGATCTATTCCATTCTGCAAGCGTCCAAGTATCTAGAAAAATGAAAGATCCTAATAACTTTTTGAACCCCGGACATTTCGCATGCGAAGAACGCTCTACCATTCACCCCGACGATTCTGCAAGCGTCCAAGTATCTAGAAAAATGAAGGATCCTCTGAATAACACAAGATGGAGGTGCGGGGATTTGAACCCCGGACATTTCGCATGCGAAGCGAACGCTCTACCACTGAGCTACACCCCCGACGAGAAACCTACTTTTCTAGAGATCTCCATTCCATTCTGCAAGCGTCCAAGTATCTAGAAAAATGAAGGATCCTCTGGATAACACAAGATGGAGGTGCGGGGATTTGAACCCCGGACATTTCGCATGCGAAGCGAACGCTCTACCACTGAGCTACACCCCCGACGAGAAACCTACTTTTCTAGAGATCTCCATTCCATTCTGCAAGCGTCCAAGTATCTAGAAAAATGAAGGATCCTCTGAATAACACAAGATGGAGGTGCGGGGATTTGAACCCCGGACATTTCGCATGCGAAGCGAACGCTCTACCACTGAGCTACACCCCCGACGAGAAACCTACTTTTCTAGAGATCTCCATTCCATTCTGCAAGCGTCCAAGTATCTAGAAAAATGAAGGATCCTCTGAATAACACAAGATGGAGGTGCGGGGATTTGAACCCCGGACATTTCGCATGCGAAGCGAACGACGCTCTACCACTGAGCTACACCCCCGACGAGAAACCTACTTTTCTAGAGATCTCCATTCCATTCTGCAAGCGTCCAAGTATCTAGAAAAATGAAGGATCCTCTGGATAACACAAGATGGAGGTGCGGGGATTTGAACCCCGGACATTTCGCATGCGAAGCGAACGCTCTACCACTGAGCTACACCCCCGTCGAGAAACCTACTTTTCTAGAGATCTCCATTCCATTCTGCAAGCGTCCAAGTATCTAGAAAAATGAAGGATCCTCTGAATAACACAAGATGGAGGTGCGGGGATTTGAACCCCGGACATTTCGCATGCGAAGCGAACGCTCTACCACTGAGCTACACCCCCGACGAGAAACCTACTTTTCTAGAGATCTCCATTCCATTCTGCAAGCGTCCAAGTATCTAGAAAAATGAAGGATCCTCTGAATAACACAAGATGGAGGTGAGGGGATTTGAACCCCGGACATTTCGCATGCGAAGCGAACGCTCTACCACTGAGCTACACCCCCGACGAGAAACCTACTTTTCTAGAGATCTCCATTCCATTCTGCAAGCGTCCAAGTATCTAGAAAAATGAAGGATCCTCTGAATAACACAAGATGGAGGTGCGGGGATTTGAACCCCGGACATTTCGCATGCGAAGCGAACGCTCTACCACTGAGCTACACCCCCGACGAGAAACCTACTTTTCTAGAGATCTCCATTCCATTCTGCAAGCGTCCAAGTATCTAGAAAAATGAAGGATCCTCTGAATAACACAAGATGGAGGTGCGGGGATTTGAACCCCGGACATTTCGCATGCGAAGCGAACGCTCTACCACTGAGCTACACCCCCGACGAGAAACCTACTTTTCTAGAGATCTCCATTCCATTCTGCAAGCGTCCAAGTATCTAGAAAAATGAAGGATCCTCTGAATAACACAAGATGGAGGTGCGGGGATTTGAACCCCGGACATTTCGCATGCGAAGCGAACGCTCTACCACTGAGCTACACCCCCCGACGAGAAACCTACTTTTCTAGAGATCTCCATTCCATTCTGCAAGCGTCCAAGTATCTAGAAAAATGAAGGATCCTCTGAATAACACAAGATGGAGGTGCGGGGATTTGAACCCCGGACATTTCGCATGCGAAGCGAACGCTCTACCACTGAGCTACACCCCCGTCGAGAAACCTACTTTTCTAGAGATCTCCATTCCATTCTGCAAGCGTCCAAGTATCTAGAAAAATGAAGGATCCTCTGAATAACACAAGATGGAGGTGCGGGGATTTGAACCCCGGACATTTCGCATGCGAAGCGAACGCTCTACCACTGAGCTACACCCCCGACGAGAAACCTACTTTTCTAGAGATCTCCATTCCATTCTGCAAGCGTCCAAGTATCTAGAAAAATGAAGGATCCTCTGAATAACACAAGATGGAGGTGCGGGGATTTGAACCCCGGACATTTCGCATGCGAAGCGAACGCTCTACCACTGAGCTACACCCCCGAGCTACACCCCGCACGAGAGAAACCTACTTTTCTAGAGATGTCCATTCCATTCTGCAAGCGTCCAAGTATCTAGAAAAATGAAGGATCCTCTGAATAACACAAGATGGAGGTGCGGGGATTTGAACCCCGGACATTTCGCATGCGAAGCGAACGCTCTACCACTGAGCTACACCCCCGACGAGAAACCTACTTTTCTAGAGATCTCCATTCCATTCTGCAAGCGTCCAAGTATCTAGAAAAATGAAGGATCCTCTGAATAACACAAGATGGAGGTGCGGGGATTTGAACCCCGGACATTTCGCATGCGAAGCGAACGCTCTACCACTGAGCTACACCCCCGACGAGAAACCTACTTTTCTAGAGATCTCCATTCCATTCTGCAAGCGTCCAAGTATCTAGAAAAATGAAGGATCCTCTGAATAACACAAGATGGAGGTGCGGGGATTTGAACCCCGGACATTTCGCATGCGAAGCGAACGCTCTACCACTGAGCTACACCCCCGACGAGAAACCTACTTTTCTAGAGATCTCCATTCCATTCTGCAAGCGTCCAAGTATCTAGAAAAATGAAGGATCCTCTGAATAACACAAGATGGAGGTGCGGGGATTTGAACCCCGGACATTTCGCATGCGAAGCGAACGCTCTACCACTGAGCTACACCCCCGTCGAGAAACCTACTTTTCTAGAGATCTCCATTCCATTCTGCAAGCGTCCAAGTATCTAGAAAAATGAAGGATCCTCTGAATAACACAAGATGGAGGTGCGGGGATTTGAACCCCGGACATTTCGCATGCGAAGCGAACGCTCTACCACTGAGCTACACCCCCGACGAGAAACCTACTTTTCTAGAGATCTCCATTCCATTCTGCAAGCGTCCAAGTATCTAGAAAAATGAAGGATCCTCTGAATAACACAAGATGGAGGTGCGGGGATTTGAACCCCGGACATTTCGCATGCGAAGCGAACGCTCTACCACTGAGCTACACCCCGACGAGAAACCTACTTTTCTAGAGATCTCCATTCCATTCTGCAAGCGTCCAAGTATCTAGAAAAATGAAGGATCCTCTGAATAACACAAGATGGAGGTGCGGGGATTTGAACCCCGGACATTTCGCATGCGAAGCGAACGCTCTACCACTGAGCTACACCCCCGACGAGAAACCTACTTTTCTAGAGATCTCCATTCCATTCTGCAAGCGTCCAAGTATCTAGAAAAATGAAGGATCCTCTGAATAACACAAGATGGAGGTGCGGGGATTTGAACCCCGGACATTTCGCATGCGAAGCGAACGCTCTACCACTGAGCTACACCCCCGACGAGAAACCTACTTTTCTAGAGATCTCCATTCCATTCTGCAAGCGTCCAAGTATCTAGAAAAATGAAGGATCCTCTGGATAACACAAGATGGAGGTGCGGGGATTTGAACCCCGGACATTTCGCATGCGAAGCGAACGCTCTACCACTGAGCTACACCCCCGACGAGAAACCTACTTTTCTAGAGATCTCCATTCCATTCTGCAAGCGTCCAAGTATCTAGAAAAATGAAGGATCCTCTGAATAACACAAGATGGAGGTGCGGGGATTTGAACCCCGGACATTTCGCATGCGAAGCGAACGCTCTACCACTGAGCTACACCCCCGACGAGAAACCTACTTTTCTAGAGATCTCCATTCCATTCTGCAAGCGTCCAAGTATCTAGAAAAATGAAGGATCCTCTGAATAACACAAGATGGAGGTGCGGGGATTTGAACCCCGGACATTTCGCATGCGAAGCGAACGCTCTACCACTGAGCTACACCCCCGACGAGAAACCTACTTTTCTAGAGATCTCCATTCCATTCTGCAAGCGTCCAAGTATCTAGAAAAATGAAGGATCCTCTGGATAACACAAGATGGAGGTGCGGGGATTTGAACCCCGGACATTTCGCATGCGAAGCGAACGCTCTACCACTGAGCTACACCCCCGACGAGAAACCTACTTTTCTAGAGATCTCCATTCCATTCTGCAAGCGTCCAAGTATCTAGAAAAATGAAGGATCCTCTGGATAACACAAGATGGAGGTGCGGGGATTTGAACCCCGGACATTTCGCATGCGAAGCGAACGCTCTACCACTGAGCTACACCCCCGACGAGAAACCTACTTTTCTAGAGATCTCCATTCCATTCTGCAAGCGTCCAAGTATCTAGAAAAATGAAGGATCCTCTGGATAACACAAGATGGAGGTGCGGGGATTTGAACCCCGGACATTTCGCATGCGAAGCGAACGCTCTACCACTGAGCTACACCCCCGACGAGAAACCTACTTTTCTAGAGATCTCCATTCCATTCTGCAAGCGTCCAAGTATCTAGAAAAATGAAGGATCCTCTGGATAACACAAGATGGAGGTGCGGGGATTTGAACCCCGGACATTTCGCATGCGAAGCGAACGCTCTACCACTGAGCTACACCCCCGACGAGAAACCTACTTTTCTAGAGATCTCCATTCCATTCTGCAAGCGTCCAAGTATCTAGAAAAATGAAGGATCCTCAAAAATAACACAAGATGGAGGTGCGGGGATTTGAACCCCGGACATTTCGCATGCGAAGCGAACGCTCTACCACTGAGCTACACCCCCGACGAGAAACCTACTTTTCTAGAGATCTCCATTCCATTCTGCAAGCGTCCAAGTATCTAGAAAAATGAAGGATCCTCTGAATAACACAAGATGGAGGTGCGGGGATTTGAACCCCGGACATTTCGCATGCGAAGCGAACGCTCTACCACTGAGCTACACCCCCGACGAGAAACCTACTTTTCTAGAGATCTCCATTCCATTCTGCAAGCGTCCAAGTATCTAGAAAAATGAAGGATCCTCTGAATAACACAAGATGGAGGTGCGGGGATTTGAACCCCGGACATTTCGCATGCGAAGCGAACGCTCTACCACTGAGCTACACCCCGACGAGAAACCTACTTTTCTAGAGATCTCCATTCCATTCTGCAAGCGTCCAAGTATCTAGAAAAATGAAGGATCCTCTGAATAACACAAGATGGAGGTGCGGGGATTTGAACCCCGGACATTTCGCATGCGAAGCGAACGCTCTACCACTGAGCTACACCCCCGACGAGAAACCTACTTTTCTAGAGATCTCCATTCCATTCTGCAAGCGTCCAAGTATCTAGAAAAATGAAGGATCCTCTGAATAACACAAGATGGAGGTGCGGGGATTTGAACCCCGGACATTTCGCATGCGAAGCGAACGCTCTACCACTGAGCTACACCCCCGACGAGAAACCTACTTTTCTAGAGATCTCCATTCCATTCTGCAAGCGTCCAAGTATCTAGAAAAATGAAGGATCCTCTGAATAACACAAGATGGAGGTGCGGGGATTTGAACCCCGGACATTTCGCATGCGAAGCGAACGCTCTACCACTGAGCTACACCCCCGTCGAGAAACCTACTTTTCTAGAGATCTCCATTCCATTCTGCAAGCGTCCAAGTATCTAGAAAAATGAAGGATCCTCTGAATAACACAAGTTAGA